TGACCACTAAAGAACGTGATGAAATCGTACTATATCCTTAATATAAGATTCTTATCAGAATCTTATAGAAATCTTATCAGTTTCTTATATAAGATTCTTATACATAAATTACGCATTTCCATCGACTACCTTATAAGATTCTTGCAGATATTCTGTAAGATTCCTATAGGAATCTTATATAAGATTTGATCTCTAGGGCGGGCTGCCATCTTGTTAATAATTTTTCAGAAAAGAAATAAGCTGCTCGGTTTTTCTCAATTTCCATTCATAATCTCTAGTTTCGGTTTCATTGCGGTTTTTCTTAGTTTCCCACAGTCTGTCGGTAGTTTCCATAGCTTCCTAAACTTAGGCGCAGACAAACGAAAAGCACACATAGGCACATTTTGGTCCCGACACCCGAGGCTTACCCTCTGTGTGCTAGTTCGTAGACATAAGTTATTAGCATACAAACACACATGTCAAGACATAATACGAGAGTGGTTATAAATACGAATTAAAGAATTGGGAATGTGCCTCATCAATCTATTGCCTTGCAAAAACAACGATGATCGTCAAAACTAGCGTAGTATCAGCTTGCTGCTGCTTGTTGAGAATATTCTTCAGAAAGTAATGTGAACAAGAAAGATAATTATTTTATTCTATAGAAACAATTTGATATTGGCTATTGCTTTCCAGTCAACGGATAAGTGAATCAGATTGATGAACGTACTTGTATATATATATATATATAGGACACATGTTTCTTCGTTTCAAGAAAAATGTTAGAAAAGGACAGATTGCTCCACGTGCTTATCTCGTGACGTGTATGATTATCTCAGTTTAAACGAGACGCAAAACAGTGTCTGTTACATAAGGCACTTTATTAGACTAGCGAAAATAAGACCTATTTAGATAACGGACCACAGAGCTGAATTTACGGTGTACATTCTCTGAATTTACCATCTGACTCTCTATTCATATTGATTCTTCCTTTTTCGATAGAGATTATAACATGACAAAAGCATGGTCTGCTCGACGAACGCATTAAAATCTGATTGTACTATGTTCTCGAAGAAAAGTCCTAGTAAAGTCCTAGTGGAGCCAATCGTAGATAACAAAACGGTGACAGGAGAAATGTGGAACTAGTGCACACTGGTGAGGCCGGCCTTTTTTAGTACTGTACTGCATGAAGGAGAGCCGATCATATTTTTCATAAGAATGTTACACTTCCTTCTCTTACAGATTTTTTGAATTAAGTGACTAGTCAAAATCCTGTATCTTAGCGCCTTCTCGTACTCATGGACGATACATCCTTAGAAGAAGAACATATATATATATATTAAACATGAATTGGAAACAATAGCTCTGCAGTAAGAAACGTTAAAAAAAGTAAGAACAGAAAAAAGAATTTTACAGAAAGAATTTCTGAAAATTGTCTAGTATATTAAAGAGTTATTGAAGAGACTTCACATTGACATTTTCTATAGGTTTCGATGATTCGCTTTTCAACTAAAGATATTTTTGTAGCTTGTTTACATAAGGGATATTTTTTTTTCTGAGATTTTTTTCCATATTTTATAGAGACACTTGAAGCTCGAAAAGACACTACCTCCCTCAAAGAATTTTATTGAACAATTTTTTTACTCGAAATTTTTTAAAAATTTTGACTAATATCATTCTATAGCACTTTTCACCACTCTCATCAAAAATAGGCTTCTACCACAATTCTCATTCCAGGTAAATGATAGTGAGTTCGGGTTTGTTTTATTTTGTTTTGTAGTAAACAGCGATGTCTAGGCGTTGACAGAGCCCGATTTTTGAATTTCTCATTTGCTACTTTCTGGTCTTTAATAGAACATTAAATTTCTAAGTTAGTATTTGGTTAAGTTCTAAGGTGTTATCTACAAATTAAAACAGAAAATTTTCTTCATATGAATTTTAGTTTTACATGAAGGTCGATAGAGTTCCATTATTCAAGTTTTACAGAAAATCGCTATTTCTCCTGAATGCTATCTTTACATTTCTTTTATAGATAATTAAACACCGCTTAATAGGTAATTAACAGTTACGTCCTCATGTTCTATTATATAAAGGGTAAGCCAGAATTACTGAAACCCTCAGTAGTGATTTATTCATTTATTATTATTCTTCATCGTATAGGATTATGAAAAGAGAAAATCCCAACTTTCTCGTTACATTATCCTATACTTGACTAAATGGTGACGCAAAGATATCCAAAACATGTTTGTTCTTCCGTGTAGAAAAGATATTTCAAAAATACCCCTATGTAACTGATGTCCGCTATTCTCCTCAAGAATTCTATGCTCCTCATTCAGGAGAGAAATGTCGAACATCGAGTTCTATCTGTCGATAGGGAAAAGTGTCAACTTAATTTATGAACGAATTTAATTATCACATATCTGGTTCCTTTGAATAAATATTTTATTTTGTTTCGAGGAAAGATAAAAAATAGATTTATCTTACATTACTGGTTATCGCAATATTGTCAAGAAGATCAATTACATTTAAGTGACACTTGTATTTAATAAAAGAGCCGCTTGATAATGTGCAGTGTACACGATTAAATATTTATTCAAAGAAAGGGGGTACACAATAATGAACCTATTCATGAATAAATTTCGTTTCAGATTTGATGGAGAAGGAAAACACATATAAGAGACTTTTATGTGTTTTCTAAATGTCATTATTAACATACCAAGCAATGATTATCTACGTCATCTTATTGTTTTCTCATGGTGATGTTCTTACACAAGACATAAGAGCCGATATCGATTTGAAAGATTTTGGTACCTCATTTACCCCTGTCAATGATATCGAACTAATTCGAACTACATTAGTGAAGTCATTGATGGTCTGTGCTAGTTTGTGCGTTCAAGATGCCACATGTCGTACCTTCGATTATGATAAATCATTTCGTCAGTGCCGATTGTTTGAGGGAGAAATCATGACCGGTATCGTCAACATATCGTCATCATCGGCATCAAAAGTTGGCGGCATCCGATATTCACCTAAACTATATGTTATCTATCATCAAACATGTGACAAATGTGCATTCAACCGATATCTTCTTTGCAATAATAATTTATGCGAATGTCCATCTCACACATTCTGGGATGGTGAAATTGTAAAAATCAAGTGTACACAGAAAGTACGTGTCAGACTGACAGCTGGTGTAGAACGGAATGGAATCTTATATGCAGTGCCAATAACACATGCGAGGGTATGTACACGGTTGGAAATAATATTTTTCTAGGGGGGTAGAGCTGAAACTACAGATGATATAAAAATTTATTATATACCAAATTAATGTTTATCTAAAATGGAGTTGATGTGTACGACTGATATTCTGTATGACGATTATTGGCTGTAGAACTATGGAAGTTTCTATCGAGTGCGTCATAATGATTAAATTCTAGGTGTAGCAGTGCTTTGAGTAAAAGTCCGGTAACTTCAACAAAACAAACGCTTTTTCGATCGAGTTTGTTTTGTTTTGATCAGAAATGATTGCTTTTCTATTACTAATTCTGAAATCAAAACATCGATCAAGTTTTCCATTTCTTACTTCGGCACATTGCTGAAAATGAGGAAAAATTTTTGAAACTTAGTTCTCCAGCCCACCATCTGCTCTAAAAAACATTTTTCAC